TTATGATATGCATCGATTGTGATAAATACTAAATTGACATTTTTAATAGTTACAATTTTATTTATATAGTATAGTTTCTGGATATGCGTTATAGTTCTATATATATTTCGCTTTAGTGAGTTTTTGTAATTTAGTCTGAAAGATGTTATATGATATTAGTTAAAAACTCTGTTTGAGGTGACATACATGATACATAGCTTGTCATTGGTTATAGTTTTTTTGTATTACTCATTCAAAAAAGTTGTTTCTCAAAATGCATCGTGTGGTTTTGGTTTCCGTCGTTAGGTAAAATGGAACTTTATTTGCGTCCCTAATAACTTACACCATTTGTATATATTATTATTATGGTGTTGATAATAGAGTGATATTTTTTACCCTTAAGTTTCGTTAGTATATATTTCAGTTTAACTGTTGAGATTTAGTTTCTTTTTTTAAAACTTAATTTATTAATCTTATGGATAAATTCTATATCGTTTAATCAATATTCGTTTTTGTTAATTTTCTGATTTAGTTTTTAATATATATTTTCCATTTTTATGTTCTTTCCAAATAATCGTTAGGTCTACATATATGTATCCCGCATTTATACCTCATTGGAATATTTAGCCGCGTAATCTTTTGTTATGGGTTCTACAATGATACCTTTTACATCTGATTCATGTGATGGTGGTTATTTTCGTATTGCGTCTCTTAACCCTAACATGGGTGAGTGGTCTGTCTCGGTGAAGATTTTGAATTGTTGGTCTGTTTCGCGTGGCACGGGTAGAGAGCTCAATATGATTTTGGGTGACGAGCATGTTAGTTTTTTGATAACTTACCAGCTATACATGTTTTCGATATTAAATTGAATTGGTTTTGTCTTTAACGTTTTATTTGCAGTTCACACAAATCCAAGCCGTTGTTCGTGATGAATTAATTGATAATTATCTTTCAAGATTACTAATCGATGAGTGGGTGAGCATTAAAAATTTTGATGTATCACGGGTTAACAGCATATTGAGACCAGTACCGCATAGATTCAAGATTGTGTTTCGTTCGGACACTTTAGTGCAAAGTATTAATATGTGCTCCAGTAGAACCTATTTCAATCTAACTGAGTTTGTGAGTATATTGAGTGGTATTGTTAATCCGAATATTTGCGTTGGTAAGCCTAATTTATAAATTTATTTGTGCTTTTGGAGTTTATTTGCGGTTCATGTTCTGACTGTATTATTCACGTGTGTGTTTCATAGATGTTGTTGGCAAAATTGTCAACGTGAGAGAGTTGGTTTTTGTTCCTTCCGTGGAACATTCTCAAGGAGGATATTTTGAGCTGTACTTTGGTTTACGTGATACTGAGTAAGTCACTATTCTTTTAAAGATTTAAACCAGAATGTAATGTCTTATGACTTCTTCAAATCTTAAAATTAGGTGTATCCATCTAGAGTGTCGTTTAACGGGTGACCTTGCAGTCGAGTTCTATGACTTATGGAAGCAACGTTCACGTAACACAGTGATATGTATTATCAAGTTTGTGAAATTAGAGCTATCACAGGAACATAGGTGGAGATGTACCAATGTTACCGGAAGTACGAGGATTATGTTGAATCCGGATCTCAGTATTACCGACGAGATGCTTTGTTGGTAAGTATTTTTTTTTTCCGTTTACAATCAAAACTCTAAAGTTGGCGACTGGACATTCACTGTTTATGGTGTTCTAAATCGGATGTCAGGAATCCTGAAAATGACCAAGTACCGATCATCACACGGAAGGAGAATGCCATGGAGTGATGATGTTCGTTGATTTCTTATTTTGTTGGTGAATGATTTTAAAAGATGATTTATTATTATTTTTTAGCATTTATAATATTATTGAATTTTTTAAATTTCATCATTTTCCATAATTTTACCACACTAAATCCTAAACAATTTACCATATTTTTCTTACACTACCAAGTAACACCTAAACAATCCCTTATTTCACATGATTTTACCATTTATACAACATTCTTCCCGCGCATGTGCGCAGGCAATCACCTAGTTAAGGGTAATTGTAAATTGTACTCCCCAAACAATAGTATAGGTTCATAAAAAGAAAATAAAATCAGTTTTTCCTTTTTATTGTTTGAATTAAAAAAAAAGACCGCTGCATCTCTACACCAAGCCACGTTAAGCCAATTGAGTGTTGGTTCGAAGAGGAGACCACATACGGTGTGAAGAGAATTCTCACCACACCATCTTGTCATACGGAATGCCATCAACCTCACGACCAGCAAAGCAGAGAGACAACTTCAACACCAAGAATAGTAGAATTAGTTCACACCCTCTACCCTTTTCAGGTCATAAAGAGGGACCAGAAGCTTATCTACGGTGGGAAGATGACTTGGAGGAATGGTTCGCAATAATAAAAACTATTAATTAATTTTGTATATTTATTATTTGTCTTTTAATTATAATATTAGTTATTGTTGTCATTATCATCTCTGTAAATTTGTATAAATCATTTGTCATTTTCATCTTTGTTATTTGATATACTTATTGTATATTGAGTGAAACATAAAGAGTTCACAAAATTATGCGTCATTTCATAATTTTTTTCTCCATTTTTTTTATTTTGTTCCGTATAGTGGTGATATTGGTGAAATCATGCACCATGTCATGAACATTGGTGAAAACAGAGATTTTAAAACCATATGAAATTTAACCATGAGATTTGACGACGATGAGAGATTCTTACCTAATTTCTAAAACCCAAGAAGCCTTATAAGATTATCATGTGTCCACCAAGGCTAAGGAGCGAATGATATTAACGATGCTTCATTACTGCTTTTTGTACAATTTTTTTCTTTGAATAAGTAAGTGATTGATGTCATTTTCATTTCCAAGATTTTAAATATTTTAAACATTTTTTTTATGGCAAATTGCTTCGGGATCCTTGGCAGTTACCTCAAAATTAGCACAACGAGGGATTCGTTGTGATATTACCTGCAAAAGGTGTGAGACGACAGAAGAAACAATAAATCATGTTTTATTTGAATGTTCTCATTCTAAAAAAATATGGGAATTATCCACAATACCTATGGTTTCAGGTTCTTTTCCTCTAAGCTCGGAATTTTCAAATCTAGATTATCTTTATTGGAGGTTACCACCTCCTCTAGATGGGGGAGAAAGAACCAATTGTTTTGCTTGGATTTTGTGGTTCATTTGGAAAGATAGGAATAAAAAAGGTTTTCAAAGGAATACAATCTGAACCCACATATATTCTAGATCACGTTTTGAACGAGAAATTAATTGGGAAGATGCTCAGTTGGAACTGATCAAAACTAGTATTGATACAGAAATTTTGGAAAGCCCTATCCAATCTATAAGATGTCGGATTGATGGCTCTTGGAAATCTTCGGATCCAACTATGGGTATAGGATGATGGTGTTTTCAAGGAAATGATCAAACGATACTACTTGGTGCAAAGTGCCTCCGGAGATCCTCCTCCCCCCCCCCCCCTTCACTCGGAGATGGAAGCGTTAATTTGGGCCATGGAGAATGTCTTTTCAAGAAGGATTGATTGTCAGGCGTTTGAAACAGATTGTTCAGAGTTAGTTACGATGGTACAATCACCTGAAGAATGACCCGTTTTCTCCAATCTGCTAGATGCTTTTGGACTGCTTCATGCCTCCTTCCCCTTATTCACGCTTTCTCTTATTCCTCGTTTATGTAATGTTAAGGCAGACTGCTTAGCCCGTTCTTCTAGACTTTTATTTTCCGAAGTTACTTTTGTAAACACTACTCCTCCTAATTGGACACCAATCAAAGAGCTTTTTAATAATTAATGTCTGGTTGAAAAAAAAAAAAAATTATAGTCACTTCTTTTGAGTAAGACAGTACTATAATTCACAAGATTGTGTCTTAACTAGTAGTCATTTTTCTCTACATCTTCATGATTTTTAAAATATTAATATGAGATAAAATTTGTGACTAGTAATAATTATTATACTAAATATCTGACCATTTTGTGTTGGAATTCTATTCATTTGATGTGATTTAATAAAAACATATAATTATAAAATTTATCGAACACCTTAATTTTTTATAGGTATTGTTCTTTCTCTAAGTGAGTTAGTAATTGAGTTCATAAGATTTTATGTTACTTACTAATAGTAGTTTCTCCATTACTATGATATTTTTCCAATTATTAGTGATTATGTCTACAAAAAAAAATATGTTAGTGATTTATTATTTTAATCTCAGTTATTTATTAGTGTAACACGCCGGTTTCAGAAATATGGTGGTGCATGCGGAGAGGTTTAAAAGAATTGATTTGGCCACCTATGTCACCAAAGTGCATTTATCTGTTCGGTCAAACATCGTGAGAGAACTCCACAGTGAAGCGTGCCTGGGCTGGAGTAGTTTTAGGATGGGTGACCTTTCGGGAAGTGATTGTTGGAACTGTGTGAGTGAGAACAAAACACAAAAAAATATCATGTGGTGATTTGTAGGGTCAGTAAACAAGTCTTGAAAGCCTTCCGGATGTAGCGGACCGGCCGTCGGACAGGGGTGGGCCCATGGGCCCTAGAGAGGACGTGGGGCCTACTGGTAGGGGCGGTCGGAGCGCTACAATTGGTATCAAAGATGAACCCAGACGAGTGTGGAGTCAAGATGGCTCACACCGTAGGGGGTGACGGTCTTGGTGCGCAACAAAGACGTTGTAATCTGTTAGTGGGGGTGAATTGTAACACCCCGGTTTGAGGAATATGGTTGTGCATGCGGAGATATTTAAAAGAATTGATTTGACCACCTATGTCACCAAAGTGCACTTATCTTTTTGGTCAAACATTTCGAGAGAACTCCACTGTTAAGCGTGCTTGGGCTGGAGTAATTTTAGGATGGGTGACCTTCCGGGAAGTGATTGTCGGAACTGTGTGAATGAAGACAAAATATAGGAAAAGATCATGTGGTGATTTGTAGGGTCAGTAAACAAGTCTTTAAAGTTTCCCGAACATAGCAGACCGGCCGTCAGACAGGATGGGCCTATGGGCCCGAGAGAGAACGTGGAATCTACTAGTAGGGGTGGTTGGGGCGTTACAAGAATTGTGAGACCCCAATCCCCTCTTAGGCCCACTCAAGGCCCAACAGCCCTAATAACAAAAAAAAAAACTAACGTTAATATGAGTATATATGTGTATCGTCGTTCTTGTCGCCGCAGCCTCCCTTCATCACCACCATCGTTCTTAGCTTTGAGAAACAAAAGCAAATCGTGATTCTTAACCACCACCATCCACCATTGTTGAGTTTGAAGCTATCGTTTGTGGGTGTAGTTGTGATTTTTGTTCGAGAACAAGTGGTGAGAAAGGAGTTGATCTTCACGAACCGTAACGTTCCGTCGTAGTCATCACCATTGGTCACTGGCTCGTTGGGGAAAGGAGAGATCAGTTCTAGTAGAGATATTCTTGAACATTTTCCCGTCTGATCTGAAGGAACCAGATCATGATTTTGGTGTCGTTGGATAGATCTCTCTGCAAGGAAGACATAGCAACCAACGGCTCGTCGTTACGAGATTCAAGTTGGCCTTTTAGAGAGCAGATTCCGGTCATATCGAAGCAGTGGAGGGCAAGCCGACGGTAGAAACGTTTAGAGGGAGTGTCAGGCAAGCCATTGGAGCCGTCGTAGTCACAAGAAAAGTGTTTGGAGGTCCGAGTCTAATCCGATCAAGCTGAAATTTTGGGGAGAGCTTCGTGGTACAGCATGGTTCAAATTCAAAGGTGGGATTAAGAAGTTAACGGTCCATTCTGAAGTTAATGGTGCGTTTGTTTGGACACTTAAGTGAGTTGTTCTCCGTCATCAAAAAAGGCAAAGGTGAGGGTGTGATCTGTGGAGATGCGATTACAAGTTCCTATTTTTATGCTTCATGATTCTCTTGCATAGGATTAGATCTGTCTGCTTTTTAGTAATGAATTGTTAGTTATGATTGATGATATGATGATTTTTCTAGTGATATAGTAGGATTGAGTTATTGTCATTGTGATCAATTTATTATATGTGTTATATGAGGAAGTGAAATTACCATCTTTTGAGATGATGAACAGTAGAAAAGTGGAACAGTGGAATAGTGGAATGTGGTCTACATTGAATTGACGGTTTCTTTGTAGCTCAATAAAAAACTGACGAGTCCAGTGGAACTAGATAGGTTCAAAGGTCAGGGAAGATGATCGAACCTGGAAATTGATGTGGATATCTCGCTAAGGGCGAGAATGAGTTTTGGTGTTATAGTTTGTATAATGATGCAAACTATATGAGTGTTGTGTCTTTTCTATGTGATTTTTGATTGTTGTGTAAAAGTAGTTTCGTGTATCGTATTTTCAGTGAGCGGAAAGGATCTTCTCACTGCTTAATTCTTTACTCATTCTTTTTTCCCCTTTTTCTCCAGGTCAGGGTGAGAATTGTGAGTAGTCGCGCAAGTCCGTCTCTCTTATGGTGTATTTCAGGAACCTCGGGTTATTGGTTATTATTATTATTTTTATACGTTTTATTCAACGGTTTTAAACGATTTAAGTTTAGTTTTAAGACAAGTTTATATTGAGTTTTTAGTAAAAGAAATGATTTTCGGGAAAATACGACAATAATGAATTAAGGAAGTGGAATAGAGGAAAAGATAAGTAAGGTGAACGTACGCCGTCTTAATGTTGAGGGAGACGGGTGTGATAATTAGAGTTGTTATATTTCATTTGAGTGGAATAGTAATTTGATACATAAGATTGTATGTTAGTTGATAATCGTTGTCTTTTCCATATTTATGATTTGTATAATTATTGTTGCTCATTAAGATCCTTCATAGATTTTTAAAATTTCCAACATTTGTTATAATTAATTAGAAGTTGAACTTTTACCAATTTAAGTTATAAATTAATTAAAGATTATAATTAATTAAGAGTTATAAAAATTATGAAGAGTTGATTTTAATATTAGATTTAAATTATAAAAATATAAAATTTGTTTCATATTCACATAACGTTACATAAATTTACTTGGAGTTAGAATCATAATCTTCACATAACTTTTCCATATCAACTTCGTATATATACGCATAATTGGGATCACAGATAAATCATCGTAATCAAAAAACTATTTGGCCAACATGAGTTTCAACTCATAGCATTTAACTAGGCATCATTTATTGTTTATTATCTTGTAATGTTATTTGAGCATTTATTGTTTTGCAAATTAACTCCTTAAGAAATAAATTTAGTACAAACTCATCCATAGTCTACTTTTATACAACGCACATGTATAAGAAATGAAATAAACTTAATCACATTGTTTAGATATTATCAAATAATCGTGTTTCTCGTATCGTCTTTGTGTCGCACGACATCAACTATATAAAACAGATGTATTCACATCCTACAAATTTTATCATCTCGAAACACCTGCATATAAGAATTAAAGGGCCCAAATGGTAATAGCGTATTTGATTGTGCGAGAAAAGCGATTTGACACTGCGGTACAGTTCAACTATGGTATGTGTGGAGAAATATATTTGCGGGAAAATGTTAAAAATAAGTAGTGCAAAAAAATATTTGATCAATGAAAAAAAACTACTTGCATTACACAATAAAATGTATAATATTAGACTACATATTCCGTATTGTAGCATGGAAATCTTATTAATTGATTTGAAAGACAATTGGTTAGTTTCCTTTTTTATTGTTGTACGTAATATTCTGGATTTGGAAGCATCAAATTTATTGATTGAATTATTTAAAATTATATATTCCATAAATTTATTGATTCAACTAAAGAACAAGATTATATCGAATAAATTTTTTAAGTTTGTACGCTTGATAAGTCAAGTTTCATACTCATTCAATCTTAAATAATTTGGTCTTTATATAGATGACTCTGAGCTATTGTCCAAATTTTTTAGTGATGTGGGACATTGAAAACACACATTTTTGCATTGATCAAATAATATATTTCTGTTTTCAAAAACTCAAATCACAATATATCCAGAAAAAACTACATTTTTATTAACTATATGTATTATATGATAGTTCAATATAATTTGAAAATAAAATCAAATAAAGATGATAGAAGAATAATAATTTTAAATCTTAAAAACTAAAAATAAATGCATTTGTTTGTTTTGGAAATCGCCTTTATTGATTTGAAAAAAATTGTTAGTTTTCACTTTTTGATTAAAAATCAGAATAATATATAATGGTATCTCATTAACGTTATTTATTTTCCTTTTTTTTTTGAAAATATTTTCCATTTTTTAACAATCCAATTACGGTAATCAATTAGATGTGAACAATCTTTCATTCGATTTAATAGATGTTATTGAATGATTCATTTTTTATGAAATATTGTTAAAACTTATATTAAGAATAATTGGTTAGTCTTATTTTTTTAGTTGCACTTAAATATATTCTATTATTCTCTATGATTTGCGGTTATAGACCAAATATCAAACCACGATCCGCGTGGCTCCATTTTTCGAGTAGATAGATATATAATTTTTCGTATGCTTTATTTCTTTCTCTAAAATACTAAAATACCAATAGCATTTTATTTATTAGATTGTGTACCCGCGAGTTGCGCGGGGTTTTAATTAATTTTTTTTATCAATTCGACTGAATTTTAAAATATTTTACTTTATTCATTTTCATTATCTTTCCATAGTAGTAAATATTTATTCACACTTTTCACTATAATTTTTCTTGTTATCTTCTATGATTCACTCGTCGTCTCCCGACATCTACTCTCTTTTCACCTTATATTGGCTCACATATAATATATTCGACTATGAATTAGTTCTCAAGATAGATTGTATATATTTTTATTCATATCTTTTAATACTGAAATTTTTTTTATAAGTTGCATTATCTTTTTATTAAAATGAACGTTAGAAAATCTCGGGAGATATTTGTCATATAGTCTCTTTGACCATATTTGGTGCATGTCAAATTGCTTTATATATAACAAATATCATATATGGATTCATTCATATTCACAAATATCAGATTTCAACATCAAAGTTTTCACTTTATCTTGACCGTTTGAAAAACACAAAAAACAAATTCACATATATAATTTGACGTATATTATGATTCTATATAGTCTTCTTAACGTTGATTTTCGTAAAATTTGTGAGTTACGAATTCATATAAATCGTTATAATTTTAAAATATATATTTTTAATACTTAATTTTTTCTTCTAATTAGAAACTCTTCAATATACCATTACTATTCTAATTTCCAAATAGCATTCGAAAATATTATTATTACATAGTTTTTTATTCTATTGGATTCTTTTATTTTTCTTTGTGGTATTTAGGATAGTTTTTGTTTTATTTTAAATCACCTTAAATTTTTTGATATATGTTAAAATTTCATAAACACTGACTAATATTACTTTTTCTTTTTTTTTTTAGGTATTCATTTGATTTTTTTTTAAACCACCACTTTTTAATTTAGAAAACGCTGATAATATAGAAAATTTTATTAACGCAACTATTTATATTATATTATAATTATAAATAATAATATGTACTCAAAATCCTTCTTATTTTTAAGAGAAATTGTTAAAAATACTCCTTTTGGTGTGCCCCTTTTAAAAACTGCCCTTTTCAGATGTCCATTTTAAAAAATGCCCCTTTTTAAATCTGAAATTTTTATAAAGTTTTATTAGGTTTATAAGGTACTTATGGATTGTAACTACTACTTGAAGACTCGATCCAAGTATTTATAAAGTTTTATAAAGTGTTTTTAAAGGTTTTACAAGTTATTTTAAAGGATTTTTAAGGGTTTTCAAAGGTTTTACAAGATATTTTAAAGGTTTTTAAAGGTATTTAAAATGCATTTATAAAGTATTTATAAGATTTTAGATACATAGAAATGTAGTTTATGTATGTTTTAATAATATTACATACATATTTGGGTAAATCTTATATTTTTAAGAGCATTTTTTATAAGGTTTTTAAAAAAGGGTATTTTTGAAAAGTGGCATTGAAAAAGTGGTATTTTTGCAAAAGCCCCTATTTTTAATCAGTATCAAGAATTGATACTTTAACATTAAAATTATAATTCTTATATTTTTAATTTTAAATGTGTATTTTTCAGAAATGAATTTCTTTTTTATTTTCAGTAAAATCCTTTAAATTTAATATATTTTTAAGTCTTATTTTTTTATTCTATTAAATAATTGTAACTCTTAAAAATGATTGTTTTATCATTAAAATCTATGATAAGTTTTTTTTTTCATATCTCTAGTCATATAGGAATATTTACTCATTATATGCTAAGATACAATTATCTAATTTTATGTTTATTCAATCTCTATTCAAAAATTTCATATTTTGTGTAATAAATATATTTATTTTCGTCTTTTAGTATTTAATTTATTCTAGAGAAATTGTTAAAAATGCTCCTTTTTCAATACCCCTTTTCAAAAATGCCCCCTTTGAGAGTCCATTTTTAAGTTTGCCCTCTTTTAATTTTTAATGACCATTTTACCCTTATTTGAAACAAAATTATGTCCACAAAATACAAAATATTTTTTGGCGGGAAAAGTGATCCCGCAATTTTCCCGCCAAAACACTTGTAAAAACCTTTAAAAAACCTTGTAAAATTTTCCCGTAAAAATTTTTCCCGCCAAAAAATTTTCCCGCCAAAAAAATTTTTTTGCGGGAAAAGTGATTCCGCAATTTTTTTTGCGAAATTTTTTTGGCGGGAAAATTTTTGGCGGGAAAAATTTACAAGGTATTTTAAAGGTTTTTTACAAGGTATTTACAAGTGGTATGGAAAGGATTAAAATTGAATTTTAAAAGGTTGTACATTGGAACAAAAAAAGCTTTTATATGGTATTTACTTGTTTGAAAAAACCTTTTTGAGAACTCAGAATTATCTAAAAAAATAGAAAAAACAAA